GTGAGAACTAATTTAAGCAATAGTACAGAACGGACTTGAATTTATATAACCATCCGATTAAATGCTCATTTGCTCGAATTCGTATCAAACTTTCTAACCTTATATAGTCTCGAAATAAATTGTTTCTTTGTAAACTACAGTGAAAATTGGAAAATTTAGTCATATTTCTTAATGAAACTTGATTGGATGAGCTATTTTTGTTGTAAAATTTTCTTCACATTTATTTGATCCAGTAGACAAAGGTATCAATACACTTGAAAAATATGTGTTATAGACTCTTAATAGAATTTTATTTCAAAACGTTATTGTTGTTCTTAACTATTCTCATTTCCTTTCAATTAAAATTTGAACCAATTATCAATAATTGAAAAGGATTCGACTAATTGACTTTCTCAATGATGAAAATCAATAGCACAAGTCATTCCTATTGCGCTATTGTCAGATGAAATCAGAATAATTCATTATTTCTTCATTTTACAACCGAAAACATTACTTTTTTATTTGAAACTTAGACACAATATTATAAATATTCAAATTCTATTCGATCGAATCAAACGAAACATTCTGCCACTAACGAGATATTTACAACAAAAGCCCGGAAAAAAATTATTCTTTAATTTAAGAGTTGAAATTCATAGCAATACAAGATTTTTCGTGACATGATACTAGACTGTATAGATTTTATATATTTATTCAATATCTTGATAAAGTGACATTAAATTAGAACCTCTATGAACAAGAGGTGACAAATTTGTCTGAATTTATTATATGATCTTAATCAAGTTTAAAAACTCTCATTCAAAAATGCTTTCAACTAAATTTGTAAAAAATTGATCAGCAACTGTTCGTTTGTTTTCTTTTAGAATAGATTTAAACAAATAAGATTCTTGTGAATTATGCAATATCAACAAAATGAGATCTTGACAACTTGAATTCAAGAATCTGTCTATTGTATCCTCCGATTCGACTATTCATTATCAACAGTTTTACGAAAGAGTGTATGTGAAAGAATGAGGATCTCTATTTAGGAAATTGGTTAGAGATGTTGCTTAATCTATTGTCTTTTACCCATCTCCGATATGTCTTGCTCCATAATCTCCGATTTGATTGTTTTCAAGGCGCAAATCCTTGAGCGCCTATATTAGAAAATTAAACAAGACTATTAGAATGCCACGCGAACAATATCTGACATCTTTTAATAGTTATGATAATGTACAATCTATCATTCTTTAGTAGATCATTCCTTTGGGACTGGAAAGCGAATGGCAATTTTAGGGATATTACAGAGACGATTTAAATTCTTACAAGCATTCGTTTATATGCTGATTCGTTTTAATTCGTGATGCGTTTTCTGACTATAGATGGTCTCGAAACAAAAAATATTTTCCTCATAAAATAAGTAGTAAAATTGAAAAACTTCCTAGTGTTTCTTAGTGGGACGTGATCGAATATATGTTATCTCTATGTCCGAAAATTGCTTTAAGAATTATGTGATCAGTTAGAAAAAGGTATCAATCAGCTTGAAAAATGAGTACGACCAATTCTCGATAATATTATATTTCAAAACTCATATTGTCATTTTTAACTATTGTTATGGGCTTTGGATTAAAATCTGGCTTATTAAATATCTTAGTCCTTGGAATAAATCAGATAATCATCAAGACCGAAACTGTAAGATAATGATAAAGATATGGCTAAAGTCACATATGCTATTCGAACAAGCTATTTACTCTATATAAATAATTTACTAGCGTTTGTCTGGTTCATAATACATTGCGCGATCACTAAAATCAAGAATACAAAACCTTAGCTACCAAGAATAGATTGGAACTTGAATAAAAAAATATATCTTATACTGATATTAAAAAGAAAGATACTAGAAAAGCTCACACTATTCTGCTCGAAATGTTTACTACGATTTTGATAGGCAAAACAGCCATGGCAAGAAATCTGGGATAGCAAAATAAACAAAACCTCTAAAAGAGAAAACGTCCCAAGAATTCTGTTAACGTAANATTTCGAGCGGTCGACTCGTACAGTCGGTGCGTACCCGCGGACTCCCCTCCTCTTAAGAATAACCATGAACGTGTTTGAACCAATTTTTCACTGTATCTACATTTTTCATTTCATTCTAGATCAAGATGAATAATTCTATCGAACGTGTTATCGATGATCCACAGTCAGATTTATTCGTCATTAAACCTATCGATGGTAAAGGTTTTGGTATGTTTGCCAAATGTGATATACAATGTGGTACAGTTATTGTATGTGAAAAACCATTAATGAAATTTCCAAGTTATTCGTCGTCTATACTCCTAGAAGCGATCTATGATAAATTAGATTCGGAAACCAAACGTCGTATTCATTTTTTACTTGCGTCTCAAACAGGAAAACATCCTCTTGTTGGTATATGTGATACAAATAGTATTCGATTGGCCTATGATTCAAATGAAAAAGGTTTATTTTATTATATATCAATGGTTAATCATTCATGTGAATCAAATACATTTTGGATATGGTTTGATTATAATAATAAACAAGAAATGAAATTAATTGCTGATCGTCGTATTAAAGCTGGAGAAGAGCTTGTTTGTTCATATATAGGTAATTATATAGTTAATTGGACATGTCAAATTTTGTCGGAGAAACACCTTTCTAAAGTCGTTTATACTTTTCGCAACTTGAAATTTCAGTACTTATTTGTGTTGAACTTTTTTTAAGCTTCTAAATAGATTTTGGTTTTTGCGTGGAATAAAGCAAGCAGAATTGAAATTCACGTCCAGAAAAAAGGACAAAAGTCGATTTAGGATCCAAGTTGCTTTTGCTGCCTGAAAAGGTTATCGATATTTTTGCCATTGACATTTTCTCTCGATCAAATGAAATTTTGCTATTCCTTGGTCGATCTCGACATTTTTTACGTTTGAATTTTTTCTCAACCGACTTTCTTTTTCTGTTTATTTCGTATATAGAACGATTTCATTTACGTGAACGACGACACGAAATCTTACAAAATAATTGGTTATTCAAATGTCAATGTCATATTTGTGAACGACATGAGAAAGATAAAAAATCTGATGAACAATGGGCCTCTTATTCAAAAGACATCGATTTTATTTTGGAATATGATTCGAAACTATCACAAGAATGTATGGAAAAATTTTCCAAATCACTAAAATTCATACAAGAACATTATCATAATAGTTTATTACAAATGTTTATGTTACATTTCGGTATTCTTGTACCATGTTGTATGTTGAAACAATGGCAAGATGTTGTTAAATATTCAAGAAAAGCAATTTGTCTTGGAAAAATAATCTATGGTGATGATTATGAAAGATATTTAATACCCATAAAAGAAATCATTGAAGCAAAAGTGCCGATGGAATATCGTACTGGATTAGAAAAATATTTTAAATAAACGTTGTATTTTTGAAAATAAAACTGGCGGTATAGGTGTGAAATATGAAAATATTAATCGGTCTGATTTTTTTGTCTGTTAACACTCAGATGTTTGGATACATTTGACAATGGGAATTGATGAATAAAACGAGTATAAACCAGAATTCAATTAAGGTACGCTCGACATTTGAGAAAATCCATCTGAGAAATACAGTGCTGAGGCATTTACCAATTCAAATGATCGCATAATCATTTGGATTTTGATCAACTCTGATTCACATGCACAGTGAGATAAATCGCAAAAGCAGTGGCCGGACAATTCGTTGCAGGACAATTCATCACAATAACATAATCGAACCATAATTTATATCTATTTTTTAATAATGAAGCGACTTCTTCAATTAAATTTGAAATATATAATCCAATGACTATAAAAATTATTCGAAATATTACTAATGGCTAAATTTCGACTTTTAATTTCTGCTGTGGCACTATTAAGAATCCTACTAGGACAAAGAATTGGATCCGTTTCCTATTACATAATTAATGTCAGTAGGATGTAAAAAAGCTTGAGATTATGAGATATTATCAAAACTATTTTTGGCATTGTACAAGTTATAGATTGAAGTCGACTAGTTTAGTTTTAAATTTATAAAATAACAGGTGACGGTTCCTAAACTAACCCTTCGATTACCGTGCATGGACATTTTTGTCCACAAGAGTAAAGGATTACCATTTCTCTGCTTGACTAACAATCAATGGATATCGGCTTCTTCGACTCAGAATTTTTCAAGTTTTCTCGTCTACCGAATACTTCCTTTTCTCTGGGGGTCTATTTTCTCTTAAAGAAAGAACGGGTTTTATATTAGGAAGGTTCGTACTAAACTATGACTCACTTATATATCTTTTTTTCTTTCCTTTCCTCTGATGGATCATTTAAATGATATGTACGAGATAAAAACATGTAGCATCTCTTTTTCTCTTTTATCCTTGGTATTTTTCAACTGTTCTGTGATATTTCCCATGGATTCAGGAGAATTTCCAAATCGCTTTGGAATTTCCCCAGCTTGTTCACCTATATATAGTGGTCATTTTTCGAAGTAAAATAAGTCGTTTTACTTTCGATCAGTTATATCGATTTCCTCCTATTAACAGTTCAAAACGTTTTCAATAGTCATATTGCGAGCTTTATAAAATGGCGAAATATCGTGATTTTACAAGTATTCCATCAGAAGAAGAATCTTCTAGCGAAGATGACTTTACTGAAGTCTAAAATGATAATGGCGAAGAAGATCGAGAAGCTGAAGAAGATGGCGAGGCCGAAGAAGAAGGAGAAGATAGTCACTATGACGATGTAGAGGAAGAAGGAGAAGATAATGATTATAATGTTGATGAAGAAAAAGAAGATGATGATGATAATGATGAAGAAGATGATCAAGAAGAAGTAATCACTAACACTGGAAGAGTTTACTATAAAACACCATCAAGAGATCAAGAAATGTGCCACCAACAAAATATCATAAGAAATAAATGTGGTGTTACGACTTCTGGTAGAGTAAAAAGCATAGAGGACTCATTCAAGAAATTCTTCATCGACGAAGTATTGGCAACAATAATTGAAAATACAAATAAACATATGGCATCGAATGAAGAATATATTGATGAACGCGAGTTTTTAGCATTTATTGCTATTTTATATATGATGGGCACAAATCACGATAATGCCTTATCTGTGATGGATTTGTAGTCGGAGATAAATGGACGGCCATTTTACAAAGGAACTATGTCTAGAAATCGATTCCTTCAGATTTTGAAACATCTGAGATTTGATGAAGCTAGTACAAGAATCGAAAGAAGGAAAACGGACAAATTTGCACCTATGCGGAATGTATTTGAAATGGTGGCATCCACATTTCCATCAAATTTCGAAGCACACCAATGCACAACTGTTGATGAAATGCTCTCGTCGTTACCGTGGTCGTTGTGCTTTCAAAGTATTCATGAAGGGCAAACCTGGAAAGTACGGCATACTCGTCAGAATGCTTACAGATTCATACAAGAAATATGTAATTGCTATGGAACCTTATGCCGGCAAATCGAGTGAAGTTTCGAATAAGTCAAAGGATATCGTCTGTCGACTATCGCAAGCAATCAAAGACTCTTCAAGCAACATCACCATGGATCGTTTTTATTCATCTGTGGAGCTCGCAGATGAACTATGGCACGAGTTCAAATTGACCATGGTTGGTACTATGAAAGCCAATAGGAAGCATATACCAACAATGATGAAAATTGGTAAAAACAGAGAACTTTACTCATCTATATTTCTTTTTTCCAAAGCAACAACGACAACAGCACCAGTCACACTTCTTTCATACAGCAACAAGCCAAACAAAGTTGTCATCCTTATCTCTACTCAACATCGAGCAGTTGGTAATTTTGAGGGAGAAAAGAAAAAACCAGAAATCATCACTTTCTACAATCGTACAAAAAGTGGTGTGGATACCATCAGTCAACTTACACGACAATATACTACAAAAAAAGCTTCTTTCAGATGGCCAGTGTCTATATTTTACACGTTACTTGATATAATTGGTGTTAATGCCTTTACACTTTTTATTGAATGCTTTCCTGATTGGGAGAGAATCCATTTAAACCGGAGGAAACTTTTTCTGAGGGAGCTAGCTCTTTCTTTGGTCAACCCTTACGTTTCGCAAAGAGACACATCAAATTTGCACAAGGATGTTGTCTTGGGAATAAAGAGTATTCTGTGTCCGAAGACATCTGCAGATTCATCAGCACCAAGAACAACAACAATAGCAACATCTCAGCCAGTTACCACAAATCGTGCTCGGTGCAAAATTTGTTACGATAACGCTTTTGGTTACGCAAGTAAACAAAAAGCTAGTAGGATTAGCACCAAATGCTGTGAGTGCGGAATTTATGTGTATAAAATGCATAGTCATGTAAAGATTGTTTGTGAAGTGTGCGGTGAGAAATCTGATGTATCAGATTAACAAAAAAAATAAATGATAAAGCTGACCAAAGTTAAGTTTTAATGACTTATAGTTATGGACAAGAATGTCCATGCATGGTAATCCACGGAATTTTTCTCGCACGGTAATCGAAGGGTTAAGAGAATTTGTACGTCAAATGTAAAGATTTNTGTGTATAAAATGCATAGTCATGTAAAGATTGTTTGTGAAGTGTGCGGTGAGAAATCTGATGTATCAGATTAACAAAAAAAATAAATGATAAAGCTGACCAAAGTTAAGTTTTAATGACTTATAGTTATGGACAAGAATGTCCATGCATGGTAATCCACGGAATTTTTCTCGCACGGTAATCGAAGGGTTAAGAGAATTTGTACGTCAAATGTAAAGATTTAAAAACAGAAATTCATTAAAAGTGACTTTTTTTTCTGACGACGTCAAAACTGCTCTTCTTTAGTGGACGCTAAATTTCGCTACTACTTTCAAAGTATTTTCCTATTTTCAGAAGCCTTGAGCTGCAGCGCAAATTAAAAGAAAGGCACAATGTTACTTCCATTAGTACAGAAAAACTTTCGTCACTTGTACAGCTCGAATACACTAACTTTTTTATCGAAACAAGAAGATCATCGTACTGTTCGATATCAAAAATCGAAGTTTAGCCATTAGTAATATTTCCAATAATTGTTATAGTCATTGGATTATATATTTCAAACTCGATTGAATAAGTCGCTTCATTGTTGAAAAATATATATAAATTATGGCTGGATTATGTCATTGCTACGAATTGTCCATACAACGAATTGTCCGCGATGAATTGTCCTAGCACCATCATCTTCACATCAATTATGACTATTAATTAAGAGAAAAAGAAATTTAAATCATAATTTAGCTTTATATGCATTGTTGAGATCTGCTTAAAATAAATTATTTATTGTTTGTCTAATCTATATACAATACAATTGGTGAACCATAATGAATGCGTCATTTAGTATTTCGACTAGAACTTTTTTTTTGGCCTTTTTAACACTTAGACCTGATTATGTTTCCAGAAGATGTTCTGTCAAACTCTCTACAAAAACTTAATCAGACTTATTTCTCTAGGAAGTTAAGAAGAAAAGTGAAACGAAGAATATTCAACAAGTAGAAACGAATTCATTTTTTAAACTATTTTGTTTTGTAAAAACTTCTGAGTATTTTAACCAACTCTATAGGCAACGAAACTAAAATGTGAAGATATTTTTTGAATATTTTGAAGTGTAGTTATTCTAAATGACCCGAATCTGCGCTACATTTTAATCTTTTTCTATCTTAATTCAAGAAGAAATCCATGAGATAAAACTTTGCCGCTCAACCTTGATAAAGGAATCATTGTTCCTCAAAATGAAAAACATAACTCGAGTTCAAAAGATACTAATTACTTTAGCTTCATTATGTAAAATCTCCATAATCTATTGCAGTTTTTTGAATGTCTAAAACAGAAGAAATTCGATGCTAGTCTCTAAGATTGATTTCGTATTTATTCACTTGGTTCATTTCTACTTGTTGAAAATTCTTCGCTTAGTTTTTCTTCTTGAAGCTCCATAGAAATAAATCTGATCAAGTTATTATAGAGAATTTGACTGAACATCTTCTGGAAAAACAAACAGATCTGAAGATTGAAAACAAAAAAACAGCAGTTATAGTCTAAGTACTAAGCTAAGCTCATTCTTTTTTAGTTCATCCATTATTCACTCATAAATCTATATCAATCATTACAAATTCGAATGAACTACTATTCAATTCTTCTTTTAAAAATCAATTTTTCTAATTAAATTAATTTTTTCTTTTCTAATGCTACAAAAAATATCTAAATACTAAAGTTGAATGTCTTTAGAAATTACATAATAAACGTAATAAATCACTTAAAAAAAACGAAAGAAATGCAATTTTCAAATAGTCCAACACATTTATTTTCTCTTTGAGAAATTCTAAAGTAGACAAAGAAAACATTGAAAAACACAAGTCAAATTTGAATTAACTCAAATAA